ACTCCTATGGGACCCACTCCTGGCACCCCGGATGGCCCCTGCTGAACTGGGCAGAGCTGAGGGCTCTGGAGAGAGAGAGAATTTTACTCCCACTAGGCCTGATTCTAACACCACAGCCTTCCTCTGCCATCAGCCTGCGTCCTTTTCACTCCAACAGTTTCCCCAACAGTTTCCTGCTTCTGCCATTCTTCCAGTTCAAGTCCACACTTCCTGGGATCCATCTCTCCTTTTTAGTACATTTGCGTGTATTGTGGGATCATCCATGATCCAGCGACCCAGACTCACCAACAGAAAAGCCACATTTCCCCACCCCCATAATGCACAGACCTAAAGAGAATCCAGGACAGCTGAGGGCATCAGGTAAGAACCTCTTCCCCGGTTCACACACCTTTATTTCTCACCAACTTAGCTTTGTCAAATCGAAAAGAATATATCGATCACCAAGTGAAAAGCCTGGTTTTAAGCTCCTGCTTCGGTGTCAACCAGCATCACTGATTCTGTGCCCTGCTTCCCACTGGCTTGGTATCAGTTGAGGCTTTACACAGGAGCAGGGGAAAGCGCATGCCTACTATCCCAGCCTTGGGGAGGCAGAGGCAGCAGGACAGAGTTCCGTGCCATGCCAGGCTGCACAGGCAGACCCTGCCTCAAGAACAAAATGCAGTCACGAAGGCCAGCCTCTCATAGCCGGAACCAGGGCAAATGCAAGTCTCCTCTCCAGAAGCATCCACAATCTGGCCTTCATCTTGTTGAGATTTTATTATCCGGTTGTGTCTCGTGCCCGCATCTGAAGCCAACTACTGCTCTGTTCAGAGTGGGTGGATGGAAAAACTGTCAGCCTGCTCTGCCGGGATCCAGGGAGAGGAGGAAATGGGCTGATGCCCCAGAGGAGAAGTCAGAGTGCAGCGCCAATAGGGTGAGTGGACGGGCACCCCATCAGAAGAAACGAGGGAATCCAAGCGCTAAACGGATAAGACTTTCCAAGACCCCCATGCTATACAGGCGAGTGTATGTGTTTAACTCAGCTGTTGAGCGCATACACTGCTAGCAGGGCGGTGTTGGAACACGCCTTTAGTCCCAGCACTCAGGAGGCAGATCTCTGAGTTCAAGGTCAGCCTGGTCTCCAGAGCGAGTAACAGGACAGCCAGGGCTACACAGAGTAAATCCTGTTAAAAAAAAAAAAAAAAAGAAGGAGGAGGAGGAGTATATATGTACACTCTTCCAGAGGACCTGACTAGAGCTCCTAGTACTCATGGGGGGCCAGGTACTGTCCCCCATCACCTGTACTCCAGCTTCAAAGGGATCAACCGTCCCTGATCTTCAAGCACACCTGCACTGATGTTCAACACACACACACACACACACACACACACACACACACACACACACACAAATACAATAAATATCTAAAAATAAATAGGTAAATGCTGCAGTTGAAGTCCAGCTGGCTTCTGGCAACTGTATGTATGGACATAATTGTGCCTGTGCCCAAGACCAGCGAGATCGTTCAGCTAGTTTGCAATCTACAGGTCCAGGAGTTCAGACTGATGCTGCCTCCTTCCTGCAGTTTGACTGACCTGATCCTGTTACCAAGGACAGGCAAGGCCTGGAAGATTACATGCTGTTTTCAATGGAGTCTTCCTTCGGCTAAGTGCAGACAGAGCCACACTTGACTCTGGTGTCCCCATTAGTGAGGGTTAGTTTCCAGTTAGTTTCCAGTTAGTTCTCTCTCATCATTTCCCAACTCATTACAAAGGCCTGTTCCAAGAAAGGCTTTGCTTTGGGTTTTGGTGTCTTGGGGTTAGGGTTCTTGTTTGAGATGGTCTCACTCTTTAGCCCAGGTTAGTCTGGAACTCAACAAAGAAATAAATTTATTTGGATGGATGGATGATGGATAATCTGTAGCACAGGCTGGCCTCAAACTTGTGGCAATCCTCCTGCCTCAGCCCTAGTCGGTACTTTGTTTGTTTGGTTTCTCCTAGGCAGGATTTCTCTGTGTATCCCTGGCTGTCCTGGAATTTGCTCTGTAGACTAAGATGACCTTGTATTCTGAGAATTTCCTGCCTCTGCCTCCTGGGGGCTGGGATCAAAGGTGTGCTGACTGGCTGACTCATGGGTATTTAGATCATGGGTGAACACACAATGCCCAGATGAAAAGCTTTGCTAACAGTCATTAACCCATGTATGAATAAACTTCAAAGTCACCTTCCAGGGCTATTTGCATTTTAAAATGTAATACAAGGCTCCATGCTGCCCACCTCACGTATTGTATGAGGTGCTTCTGGGGATAGGGCAAGCAGGGTTTCCTGAAGGCAAGCAACAGCCTCCTCAGGAGCCCTTCACCCAGCAGCTCTTTTTTTTTTTTTTTTTTTTTTTTTTTCCCTTCCCTGAGATCTAATTCCAAGCCTCTTAGCTGCCATTCAACCATCACTCTTTGCTTTGGGGTTGGGGAGGGATGCGGCATGGATTCCATGAATCTCTTCATCTCTTTACTCAACAAACTGCCCTTGAGCACACCTACTGAGACAAACGCAAACACATTTGTTCTGAGAGCCCTGCCCTCTGGAAACTAACAGAATTTTGTTATTGTTGTTTTTTTGAGACAGGGGTTCTCTGTGTAGCCTTGGCTGTCCTGGACTGCTTTGTAGACCAGGCTGGTCTCCAACTCACAGCAGTCCACCTGCCTCTGCCTTCAGAGTGCTGGGATTACAGGGGTGTGCCGCCCCACCTGGCCTCTAATTTTAATGTAGAGAATCTCAACTTCACCCAAAGTGCGGCTCGTTCGGTCTGAAACGCTCAGTAGACACCAATTTCCCTTCGGCACATGGACAATGCTGCGGAACACTGGAAATTTTCAGAAACCCTTTCCAGGTGGACCAGGGCGCCAGCAGAGTGGGTGGGGATGGTGGTTTCTATCTTGCTTTGGAATGTCGGGATTTGTTTTGGATGTTCTGAACATCAGGTTGGAGATACACGCAAAGAGAGGGGCTCCTAACCAGATCAGGGTTAGAGGCAGCCCAGGACACCGTCTCCATGGTGCGCAGCCCAGACAGTTGGGAAACAAACAAAAACCCATGATGGGGAGTGGACAGAGGCAAGAAACAAACACAGGCCAAGAGATGGAAAACCCTGGGGAGCAGGGCATGTGGTAAGACAGTAGACAGGGTGAGTGGGGAAGTGGTAAAGGGGCTTGGGAAGGGTGTAGTTCGTGTGTGTGTGTGTGTGTGTGTGTGTGTGTGTGTGTGTGTGTGTAGAACTGAGTCCAACCCCAGGGCCTAAGAGTCACCATGGCAACGGGAAGGGTGAGTTGTGGTGTGCGTGCCAACACAAACCTCCCGGCTTTAGCAGAGGATGGGCGCAGATGTGATGCAGGCATGTTATAAAGAAAAACACCTGAACTGAGCTCTTTAAATCAACTCCCCACCCCTGGCCTGGCTTGGGAGACAATCACTATTTAATGGAATGAATTAATCAAAACCAACATTGAACCATTTTGGCTTCTCTCTCATCTCCTTGGGCATATCCTCGCAGTTCCCAGGATTCTGGGCCCCTCAAGGCCGGCTTCTTACCTGGGAGAGGCCCACTTGACACTGCTCAGGAAGCTGCACCCAACAGTGACTTGTAATTGACAGAGTTGGGGGCGGTTCACACAAGGTCAAGGCAGCAGGAGCCCCAATGTGAGATGGTGGCACCCGAGCCCCCATCTGCCTCCTCTGCCGTCAATCACCCAGGTATGTTCCTCCCCAGTGGGCAAGCTAGACAGGAAGCTGCTTTCCCCTCCTGAGCCCCAGCCCAGGGCTGCCAGCTCGCCTTCTCCACAGTCACTGTTTTAATGGCATCTACCTCAGGCTTAGGGTAGGGGCTGGCTGGAGCGGAGTCTTTTAGGGCTTGTCTCCTTCCTGCCTGATCATTTCCGGGTAGCCAAGGGGTCACCTCCAATGACTTCCTCCAGGACTGATGTGTTCACTACACGAAATAAGCACAGTCAGTGCTTCCGACCCATAGCTGGGAAACATTTTGATTTCTTTTAAAACAAGCAGGGAGCTTCAGATACAGCTCCGTGATAGATACTTGCCTAGCATGAGCAAGGCCTTAAGTTCAAAACACATGGGAAAACTTAAAATTCAGGGCTGGAGAGATGGCTCAGCAATGAGGAGCCCTGGCTGCTCTTCCAGGGGCCTGAAGATCGATTCCCAGCATCACAGAGTGGCTTAGAACCTCTGTAGATCCTGCCTCAGGGAGCCTGGTGCCCTCTCCTGGCCTTCCTGAGTACTGCATATACACAATACAGACATACATGCAGGTAAAACACCCATACACAGGACAATGAAAAATTAAAAGCCAAAAAAAAATAACACCCAGACCAGGTGTCCCATGTCTGTTTTCTCAGCACTCAGGAGGTAGAGGCAGAAACTCCAGAAGTTCAAGGTAATCCTTATCTATGTAGCAAGTTCGAGACCACCATAGACTACATGAAACCCTGCCTCAAAACAAACCAAAACACCCCAATTCTCCTTTAGCTTTGCCCTGTCCATTTTGCAGCTCAGTTCCTCATTTCTGTCCTTCTCGCTGCTTCTCTGAGAACTCCTGCTCTTTGCCTGTCCCCACATTCTGAGACACTTTTCTCCCTCTGCCTATACTGACTGCTCTCGTAGGGCTCAGGTGAATTCAGCCTCTGTGGTTTGTGGGAGAATGAAGGTGTGCTGCAGTTTAGCTATGAAATGTTACCCCTAGGCTCATTCCCAGGTTTCAGGGTGCTGTAGGAGCGAGGAGGAGGATCTGCGAACATGGTACCGGCCTCTGTCTTGTCCCCGGCCCCCACATGTGAGTGAGTGTGTGTGTGTGCTCACATTTGTGAGGGCAATGATTGGTAAGCAGTCCCACTTATTAGCTATCTGGTGGCACTGAAGCCCATGTCCACCATGAAGAAGGAAAAAAGATAAAGCTTTTAACTCTGAGTCCAGCTGACTTGAGCTGAGGCTGCAGACAGTCACAGAGACAACTTGGTATTTAGGAAAATATCTTTATTGGTTTTTAAATGTCCCACTACTTGATTTAAAACTCATAATAGTGGCTTTTTCACAAACTTTACAAACTGTAGGAAAAAATTGTTTTCTGCTTCTCTGTGGAAATCTCATTCCCAGCAGTCAGGGCTCTTTCCTGGTAGAAGCCTGGCTGGAAGGAGGGAGTTACCACAGCACAGAGCTGGGGCTCTCTGCTTACAGCTAATGCTCAGGCTTACTCGCAAAGACGACGGCTCCTCTCGGGGAGACTCAGCCTGTGTACATCTGTGGCCCACTGAGGCAGGCCTCTGTTTGGAAAGCCACCGAACCCCTAAAAGCCTAGAGTGTTGTGTATCAAGGCAGCTTTGTGGGACTGAAGACCCTAGCGAGCCTATGGCTTGGATCCTTCCTTCTCTCTATAACAGAGCCAGGAAAGATGCTGTGGATCTGGGCCACTCCCAGACATCACCCCTTTTATTCTGCTCATAGAAGCTAATTTATCAAACAGTTAATTAAAAACAAACAACAGAAAACAAACATTTGGTTCTGTTTCAGCTGTGATCAGCAGTTGGTCTTTTTTAGAAAAAGATGACAAGAGTTTCTAGTTGTTAAGTGTGCATTTTGTTATCCTGCTCGTGGCTCCTTCTCTTGTGTGGTTAAGATGGGGAGGAGGTACAGCTGCAGCAGAGACTGTTTGTTGATCTGAGAAAACCGTTAAAATGTTTTGCACCCGCAGACTAAAGCTGACAGAATCCCCGAACGATCCCACTGATTTTTATGAGAAACACAACTGTCCCTCTTGGGTGTCTCGAGTCAAAACAAGGCAACCGCCTAACGATTTATCATCCCCGTTGCACATGTTCTGTCTTCCAAAAGGCATCGAAGCTAGGGCCAGCCTCCCTCTGAGTGATTGTAAACACACCACCGACAGCTTGGACACTTTTAAACGCAGCAGGACTTTTTCCTCTGGCCCTGGCTGAAGAGCCACCTCCCTAAACTACTTAGGAAGAAGCAGATGGGAAGACACCCCTGAAACTGACAAGTGAGGGGCCAGGGGTCCCCACTGACCAGTCTGTGGCTGGGCACACCAACAAAGGCAATCCATACATTTATGGCATATGAAAATCTTCCTGTGCACACCCCCACAACGGGTCCCCAGACTCGACCTGGCTGGATGGGAGTCACAGGAGGTAGGGGACAAGCTCCCATAAGGCACACGGGTAAGTGGCCCCCATTCCGAGCGCCTGGCATCATCTCTTCACGCGATTCCAGAAGTGTTGGAAAGTGGAGGAGTTGGTGACACTCACAGTGAGCAGCAGCAGCAGATACAGGGACATCATGACCACGAACCAATGGCTGGACAACCAGGAGAGCTGGCTGGAGGCCCTGCCCAGAGGGAAAGAGTATTGGCAACTCAGGAAAAACATTTTTGTTTTAAGTGTGTGCAAGAAGTCCTGGCTCAGAGAACACAACGTGATGAATCTCATCCTCTGTGCAAGCTGCTAAGCAAAGCTTCGTGCGGCAGCTTGAGAGATCTGACGGTCTGCCCTGGCACCGCCAATGCGCCTTTCAACAGAACATTTTCTAAATGCACAAAGACAACTATGCAATGAGCTCACCCCCTCTTCCGTTTTTAGCTCCTCTATTGCCAGTTATAACTCACTTTTCTTTTTTGGGGGGGAGTGGTGGTGTCATTGAGACAGGGTTTCTCTGTGTAGCCCTGGCTGTCCTGGACTCACTTTGTAGACCAGAGATCCGCCTGCCTCTGCCTCCCAAAGTGCTGGAATTAACAGGCGCCACTGCCTGTTCACTTATTTTATATCTTTTGCAATACTAGGTACTGAACCCATAGCCCTGTGTATGCCAGGTTAGCACTCTACCACTGAGCTACCATCCTTGACATCGCTAGAGAGATGAAACACCTGGAGCCCACAGACACCCCTGTGGGACGTGGCTATGCTACGCATTCTCAGGCCGTCTGCTTCCCATCCTGCCTCTAGGCATGCTCTGGAATGGAGTTCAGACAGACCATGGGCCCCAGTCTGACTTCGTGCAGCCCTTCAAATGGGCTTGTTTCCAAGGGGATCTTCTCCACTAGAAGGTTGGTGCCCTTAGAGTCAGAGCCACGTCCATCTTCTCTGCTTCCCCACCCCTCCCCTCAGATGTCCAGCGGCATCGGAGGCCTGCGGCTGGGGGATGGCGATGCTGATGAACACAGCCATCAGCCACCGCCTACCCTTCATGAGGGACGGCCTTCTTACCGCTTAGGCTGCTTCTGAGAATACACCAGCAGGTACTTGACCCGCACAAGCTGGTTATTGGTGACTACGAAGTACTTAGGGGGGACATCCCCCCCTTCACTGTGCTTGATTCTTGCCCTGCTGCGGTCCACTTCCTTGGAGTCTGAAAAAGGAGGGGGAAAGCGCACTTTGTCAGGCGAGGGTGGGGGCACAACGGCAAAGGCAGCAAACTAGGAACAGAAATGATCAAGGTTCCAAGTCCTGAGGCACGGATGGTCAGCAGGCAGAGGGATGCGTCTGTGCTCCTCTGTGACCTGGCGCAGAGGCTGGGAGGCTCTGGCAGACAGAAGGATAAATTCGGGAAAGGCTGGGGAAAGGTGAGGGAAGAACATAAGACTGCTGGATAGAGAAGGCAGAAGCAAATGAAGGCTGAAGTAGCAGATGAGCATCACACACTCTAGGACCAGAACGAGGACGCACGAGGGAGCAAAGCTGGAGTAGAGTCGCTGCTTGTCTTCTGTCTGTCTGTCTGTCTATCAGGAAGTCTCATGTACCTGAACTCAGCACCTAGCTAAAAATGACCTCGCAGAGCAGCGTCACACACTCTAGAACCATGATATAAGAACTCATCAGGAGGCAAAGCTGGAGCAGGGCTGCTTATTCATCTGTCTGTCTGTCTGTCTGTCTGTCCACAAGCCTCAGGGTGATGCTGTGCTGAGGCTGGAACTCAGGGCCTCACCTGCCAGGTGGATGCTCTACTGAACCACCTCCCCAATCCTGACCGAGCTACCTCCCCAGGGCTTAGAAGGCATTCTGAATACACCGAACCAGACTGGAGCTCTCAGACATTTCCTTCCTCCGGTCCTGGTGACACACACTTTTGATCCCAGCACTTTTAAACTCAGCCCTTCAGAGAGAGGCAGAGGCAGAGGCAGGCTGATTTCTTGTGAGTTCTAGGTTAGCCTGGTCTACGTAGTGAGTTTCAAGATTGTCAGGGCTACTAGGTAGTGAAAATCTGTCTCAAAAAACACAAACACAAATATAAAAACAATTCCACCACTCCTACTAAGATTTTTGTTTGTTTGAACTTGCCACGTAATTGAGGCTAACCTTTAACTCCCAACCCTCCTGTCTATGCCCCAAGCACTAGAATTACAGTGTTTGACACCATGCCATGCCCAGGATTTTTTTTTTTTTTAATTTTGTTTTGAAACAGAATCTCACTGTGTAGCTTTTTCTAACTACACAGACCAGGCTAGCCTTGTACTCAGAGGACAGCCTGACTGCCTCTCAAGTGCTGAGATTAAAGGTATGCACCACAATACCTGGCTTTATTCTTTTATGTTTCAAACTCACTATGCAGCTGAGGCTAGCCTTGATCTTCCGATCCTCCTGACGCTAATTCCTACAAACTGAGATTACGGGCTCGTGCTGCCACCCCAGCAATGTCTTTTGTTTTGTTTTGCTTCTTTGTTGTGGATTTCACGTGTATGTGTGTATGTGTGTAACGCTGACCCCAGGAGCCTTGTCCACGCTAGGCGAGCGCCTTATCTCTGCTCTGAAAGAGAGAGGGGGAGGAAGGGCGGCAGCATGCTAGCTTTTTTAACAACATGAAAAGCTTTACCAAACGCGAGCCAGGGCTCTGTGGCAGCAGAGGCAGAGCAGTTTTGTTTTGATGTTTACTGTCACCATATGCAGACTTGCTAAGAATCACGAATGCGAGGAGGGAGCATTCCTTGTCTGTTTTGGGAGAATGTTGTCAGACCTGGGCGTCAAGTTGTTTCACATTAGAGGCCAGAACAGTCCGTGTCTTGAAGTCTCCTCTCTGTAAAGCCAACAGCCCAGTTTGGAGGCTGGAGGGACATTCCTATGACTCTTCCGCCATGGAGGAGGGTGGCTGAGGGAGAGGCCGGGGCACATGGTTCAAGGGACACCTCAGGGCAGTCGAGTAGAGGTGGCTCCTAGCTAGCTGCTCCAGGACAGTCCATGGCCTCGCATGCCATGTGGTCACCTGGGGATTCCAGCACACCCCAGGGTAGCCCAGAAGGTCTGGACCCGCTATCCTCAGCTTTTGTTGAGAAATATCTACTGAATGTTAAATGTGTGCCATGTTCTCTGTTGATGCCAGGTGCCCAGTGATAACACCGAATTCCCGCTCTCACAGAGCCATGCCCTCACCTTACGTATTAGCTTCCATTTGTCAGTCTTTTTCTTAATTTTTATTTTATATGTCTCAGTGTTTCGCATGAATGTATGTATGTGCAGCACATGAACGCCTGGTACCCTTGAAGCCAAAAGAAGGTGTTAGATTCCCCGAAATTTAGAGTACAGGTGGTTATGAATTCCACAATGTGGGCGCTGGGAACCGAGCTGCTCCTGCAGGTCCTCCGCAAGAGCAGCAAACACTCTTAACCACTGAGCCTTCGTCTGTCAGATCCGGCTTCCTTCCCAAAGCTTCCCATGGCTGCTTTGACCCACTCAGCCACCCTGTGTCAGCTCCTCCCCCAGCACTCCCTGACTCTTATAGTATCTCATCTTTTTTCATTTTATGTTTGTTTGTTTTCTTTCGTTTTTTGAGGCAGGGTCTCCATGTATCCTTGGCTGTCCTGGAACTCACTCTGTAGACCAGGCTGGCCTCGAACTCGACAGAGATCTGCCTGCCTCTGCCTCCCTAGTGCTAGGGTTTAAAGGCATGTCTGATCCTTTTTCTGTCATGTGTTCAATCCTTGAAAAGACACGTTCCTCCTTAAAGGCCAGCACCTGTCCTGCTCTGGACCAACCCATCTCTACGAATGCAATGGCCCTCCACCCACATCTGGGCTAGCAGGTGCCTGCAGCCAGGCTGGGGTCCAGTGCTCACTCACCCTTCTTCTTGGTTTGGCACTTGACATCTGGATGATCGATGACCTCACACACAGCTACACAGCTAAGGGTCGGGCCAAGGAGGCTGTGCCGCCACCCTCGGCCGTGAGGGCTGTAAATGAGGGCCAGGCTCAGGTCACTTGTGAGGTAGGTCCCCTCTCCAAACAGAGACGTCTGGAAGAGCAGAGGTGGACAGAAATGAAACACACCAAAGCGAATGCAGGGCTGCCGTCACAAGATAGGACATGCCCTCCTTCCACAGAGCTGAAAACATCACAAATTTCATGCTCCCGCAACCTCTGATGTCATCATAGGGCTTATTACTGAATACATTCCCATCTGAGAAGAGTTTAACTGACTGTGGATTTGGCCACCTAGCCTGGCAAACAAGCTGTACCTCGTGGTCAAGACTGAACGAAAAAAACAACAATGATATCAGAGTTTAAACAGACCTCATTTCAATGTTCCAACAGGTTACATAAATTCTGTGTCTCAGTTTTTACTTCTACAAAATGTTGGTAAAAGTTCTCCTCCATAAGCTTATGGCAATGATTCAGACAGAAGGTAGGCCTGGGGGTGTAGCTCAGTGCCAGAGCTCTTGCCTAAGCATTCACAGGCCCTGGGTTCAGTCCTCAGCAACACACACACAGAGACACACACACACACAGCCAGACATAATGTACAAAAAGCAATGTACATGTTCAGGCTATGTGGCACATAAGAGATGGTGGCAGTCCCGGGCGGGCACACCATCAGAAGTGCTGCTGTTATAACAGAGTAATCCCCTTTGTATCACTGCACTAAACAGAGCTACACCTACAGGTTCGCAAAAGCAAAGCCACTCCCTATTACTTGAAGAAGAATGGGGTCTCCTTGACCAGAAACTGGGACTGAATGAGGGACCTGGCAAGAGAGGCAGGGTGAGTTTTACCCTATGTTGGTGTGGGCTAAGAAAGCATCCAGGAATCTAGGATGAGGCTGGCTGACAGGGGTGTTAAATTGATTCCTCTATGAGGAAGATTGGCAGGTGAGTACTGGCCAGCAGAGCCTACAGAAGGCACAGGGAACACAGTCTTTTTGACCATGACAGGCACCAGAAATTGATCACGACTGTAGTCACAGCAACATCCATCACGGTGCTTAGTCACGGACACAGAACACTTGTCATCACATTCCAGTAGCGTCTATCCATGGATGGACTTTGATACTCAAGTTGAAATTCATATGCTGTCTGTGGACCCTGTCCCAGGATGGTTTGTTGTCTGTTTGTTTTTGTTTTGTTTTGTTTTTCTAAGACAGGGTTTCTCTGTGTAGTCTTGGCTGTCCTGGACTCACTTTGTAGGCCAGGCTGGAACTCACAGAGGTCTGCCTCCTCTGACTCCCTCAGCACTGAGATTACAGGTGTGCACCCTCGCGCCCAGCTTCAGTCCCAGGATCTTAAGATGATATGGGACTCAAGCAGTCACTGCAGTACATCCTCTGCTCTGGAACTGAGAAATGTCCTATTCAGTGGCTGTCACAGTTGTCCGGAAAGCTTGGGGCAATTCTCTGCTTCTCTGCTTGACTTTTGGAAAGCTCCCTTGCCAGGTTGAATAATGTCCCCATCTCTTAAAACCTGACACAGACGATCTCCAGGGACAATGAACACCCTCTGATCAGACCCCACATCAGTTTTTTAAAATATTTATTCACTCCGTGTGTGTGTGTGTGTGTGTGTGTGTGTGTGTGTGTGTGCGCGCGCGCGCGCGCGTGCATGCATACCGTGGTAAGAAGACAATTTGTGGGAGTTGGTTTTTTCTTCTGCCTTGTGAGTACCTGGGGTACCTGGGGTCGGACTCAGGTCATCAGGCCTAGCAGCAGGCACCTTTGCCTACTGAGTCATCTCGATGGCCCCTACATTGATTCCCTATTTAAGTCCTTTCAGTTCCTGAGACTCAAAGCCTTGTGCCAGGCTGCTGTGAGCAGAGAGCACGAGAGAGTCCTAGGACACTTCTACCCCCAAGATAAATTTGCAGTGACTGCTGCTTTGCTCCCCCTCCCCCAGTGCATGAGCTACCTCCCTCCACTGAAGGGAAGACGAGACGCCAGAGCTTGAGTCCTTGTACCAAAGGCCTCCTAGATTCACTCAGCGGCACACTGCCTGGGCACATGAATGGAGGCGAACAGAAACTATCAACTTCAGGCCATGTCTCCAGGCAAGCTTCAGGATGAGCCGGAGACCCTGGATTCCAGCAGCCTGGCCAACAGTAAGTTCAGGACCAGCATCAAGCCCGACACCTCAGCACAACCCTCCGTACTAATCAGACGCAGCAGGGCTGGAAGCCTCTTCTCCAGCCTCGGGGCTACAGCAGCTGCAGCTGAGCCAAGGCTCCTGGAGCCAGCCCAGCAAGACAAGACAGATGCTGCTCTGCCTAGGGAAGGCCCGAGGCACCCACTACCTCAGATGCCCTTGCCACCGGCCTACAAGAGCAGCCGCTGCTGCGCCTGGGGCTTGGGACACCAAAAAGCCGCTCCAACCGTCTGCTGTGCTCAGAGAGTAGTGAGCACTGGGGTCACAGAGGTGGAATAGTCCCTCTGTCCAGGCCCACATGGCTGCCATGCCTGTTTAGCTACAGGCCCTAGACTGTATAGACAGGGAAAATGTCAGAAGAAAGAGGTGGTTGACATAGTTTTGACTCAAAATAATAATAATAATAATAAAAACAGAGGAAAACAGTTCTGATAAAGAACCTTCTCTTAAACACATGTGGTGCATGCCTATAATCCCAGCACTCTGGGAGGCAGAGGCAGACAGATATCTGAGTTTGAGGCTAGCCTGGTCTACAAAGTGAGTCCAAGACAGCCAAGGCTACACAGAGAAACCCTGTCTCGAAAAAAACAAGAACAAAACAAACAAACAAACAACACCTCCTCTTGGTGACTCCTGGTGTACTCTGAAATTTCTCAGGGCTCACAGGAGCCCAGCAATGCTCACGGTCCCCCCAGAATCCTGGGTTCTCACTGTGTCATCTAAGGTGAGCCTGAGGCTCCACATTTCCAACAAGGTGCTCCTGGGTAGCAGCATTTCCAGCGTCCATACTAGGTGACCAAGGCCGGCTACACGTTAGGAGCACTGGAGCGTTGGTGAAGCACACGAGTGGGCCCCCTCCCCCACAGTATCTCAATTACTTGGTCTGGAGTGCAGCTGGCACCGAGATTTTCATTTGTTTCTGTGAGAAAAGATCTCATGTGGCCCAGGATGACCTTGACCTTCAGATCCTTTTGCCTCAGTGTCCCTAGTGTTAGGACTATCAATGGTCAGCACCACACCTAGCTTATGTAGGTACTGGGGGCTGAATTCAGGGCCTAGTGCCAAGCAGACGTTCTACCAACTGGGCTATGGCCCAAGCTCTCTAATACGGCTATTTTTGTTTTCTTTATTTTAAAATTATTTATTTGTAGGTTTGTGGGTCTGCACGCCTGTATGAGCATCATGTATATGCAATGCCAATGGAGGCCAGAAGAGGGCGTTGGATCCTCTGTAACTAGAGCTGCAGGCAGCTGTGAGCTGATTGATGCTGGGAGTTGAACCCAGATCCCCGAGCAGCAAGCACTCTTAACTCCTGATCCTTCTCCAGCCCCAGCACCAGGTGTTTTAAAGCTTCCCATATGACCTAATGCAGAGCTAAAGCCAGAAATCACAGATGCTTCCCCAACCAGAATCTCCCAGAGATCCTGTCAAAATGCAGGTGGCACCAGGATTCAGAAGGTCAGCCCTGGCCTGAGAGACAGTCAGGTGACCTGGGTGGGTGTGCTGCTGGTCTGCAGGTCACTGAGTGCTGTGGCCTCGGTCAACCATGTCCTCCCTGCCGAGCAGCGCCCAGCACCACCCCTCCCGTGCTCCGAGGCAGGGTGCCCCGGGCCGACCTTGTTCAGGTGACAGTGCAGGCCGCTGTGGATGATAGAGTGGAAGTTCTCTAGGCGGCTGCCATGGAAGGCATAGATCAGGTCTCGGTCTCCTTTGGTCTCATAAAATCTGGCGTTGGCTGGGTCAAAGTACTCGATCTCAAACAGGAAGTCCGGGGTGGGCACAGGTGTGTTCGAGGAGCCCGTCAGCTGCTGGATCTTTTCAAACTTGAAAACACAAAAGTGGAACATGAGGGAGTCACAGCTTCATTCGGAGCTGGTGAGTGGGCTGCAGAGTGCCCCTCCCTGCAGCCAGCATGCAGCACAGGCGGAGACGCCTCTTATTTGGGAGGTAGAGGCAGGAAGATCATGAGTTCAAGGTCATCCTTGGCTCTATGTCAAGTTTAAGGCCAGCCTGGGCTATGTGAGAGAAAATAAAAAAAAGGACGGAGGAAATAAGGGAAGGAGGGGAGGAAGGGAAGACAAGAAGACATCCTAAAGCCTTGGGATTACTGCCCATCAGAACGTCCTAATTCTGAAGCTGCTCCTCTATAACCCAGCTCAGAGCTTGTGAGAGCTCAAGACTGCTTCTCGCTAAGGACTCTTACAGGATGGCAGGAAGCATGACCTGCTCCTAACCCGAGGGTCCCTTCTCTGTTCTTCTTCAGGTTTTTTTCTTTTCTAAAGAGCAGAGATCCACCTGCCTCTACCCCCTGAGTGCTGGGATAAAAGGAGTCCACCACCACCACCTGGCACAACCGATATTTTCATTTCATCATTTAAGTCCCTAAACTTCAGGCTGGTTCGTTATTTAGAAAACCTAATTGACACAGGCATCTAAGCTCCTTGTAGGCGTCTTTATTTTATTGGAGTTTCTTATATCTCTTCCTTTTTGTTGTTGTTGTTGCTGCTGTTGTAGTTTGAGACAAGGTTCTCTGTGTAGCCCTGACTGTCCTGGAACTCACTCAGTAGGCCAGGCTGGCCTCAATATCACAGAGATCTGCCCGCCTTTGCCTCTCAAGTACTGGGATTAAGCTCCTTTTTTCTTCATTTTTAACACCCCCCCCCTTTCTCTCTCTCACCCTTTCTGTTGTTTAGAGTATTTGCTGTTTTCAGGTTTTCTTTTATTTACGAAAGGGGAACAAATGGGCAGGGTATCAGTGGAGGTCAGCGGAGGGAGCTGGATGCCCCAGAGCTGCAGTTCCAGTTGGTACCTGCCCAGCGTGGTTTCTGGGAGCTGAACTCAGGTCCTCTACAAGAGCAGCAAGCACTCTTAACCACTGAGGCATCTCTCCAGCCCGTTTGTCTTTTGAGGTTATTTGAGATTTCATGTGACTCAAGCTGCTATCAAATGGCCTTGATCCTCTTCCCTCTACCTCCCCATGCCCAGCCAAATGGTACTTTTTTTTTTTTTTTTTTTTAATGATAATACATGGTAGGCAAATGTCCTGACTTGGGCAAAATAAAAAACTGACATTCCTGTGCCCCACCACCCCACATTTAAAAAAAATTGTATTTATTTTATTCAATTATTTATTTTATTTATTTATATGTGTGTGCCTATTGTCTGCATGGGCAGCGCACGCATGCAGTGCCCACGAGGGCCGGAAGAAGGCACTGGGTCTCCCGGAAGTGGAGGTAAGGACAGTTGCACAATGCATGGGGATCCTGGGAACTGAGCCCAGGTCTTCTTCAAGAGCAGCTAGTCCTCTTGGCCACTGAACCATCTCTCCAGCCCCACCCAGACACCACCCACATCTCAAACATCAAGGATGCACTCTCGCACCTGCTTTAGCTGTAATGCCCAACATCTAATGGGGCCTTGATCCCAGAGGAGTCTGAAGAAATCAGTGTATCTCAATTCAGCAAAGAACTATTCGGAATACAGACTCTCTCCCCATGGCTCCTTGTGTTCCTTACCATCCGGCAATGTTGGATGTCCCTGTAATACCCTGGGATCAAAATCCATGACACTTAGGGACACTTGTAAAATTGAATCCTTAGAGCTGGACTTGGGAGTAAATCCTGTGAGCGCAGGAGGTCTCTGCCATGACTTTACAGGCTACACAGTAAGGCAACATGTGGAGACTTTCTCTCAAAAACCAAAAGCAGAGGGCTGGAAAGATGGCTCAGAGGCTAAGGGCATTTGCTGCTCTTGCAGAGGTCCAGGGTTCAGTTCCCTGCACCCACATGTCAGCTCACAACCACCGGGAACTCCAGTTCCAGGGGATCTGACACCCTCTTCAAGTACCAGGCATGGACATACATACAGGAAAAACACTCATACAACGAAGATAAGAATAAATACATGTCAAGTAAGCTGTGTAGCTCTAGAGACCATGGCCAGTCCTTGCCTGGGGTAGATTAGGATCAAGACCTGCATGGTGAAGTGCTTGGTCAAAGAAAACTGATATGTGAAAATGAAGAAATGCAGCGAAAGGAAAAGATTGAAGAAATGGAGGCAGAAGATGGTTAAAAATCAATCAAACAACAACAACAACAACAAAAAACAACTATGCCATTAAGAAGCAGCCAGAGAGAGGGGTGCAGTGGTGCACGCCTGTAATCCCAGCACTCAGGGAAATAGAGGCAGGAGAATCTCTGTGAGTTTGAGGCCAGCCTGATCTACAAAGTGAGTCGGGGACAGCCAACGCTACACAGAGAAACCCTGTCTTAGAAAACGAGATGCTGACCCCAGATGGTTACAGGCTCCATCTACTGATCTTCAGCAAACATTAGAAAGTGCAAAAGACTTGGAGAAAGGTGAGCTGGAGAGCCGGCTCGGCGGTTAAGAGCACAGGCTGCTCATCCAGAGGGCCTGATTCCCAGCACCCACGTGGTGGTTCACAGCCATGAGACCCGATGCCCTTTTCTGTCTGATGCTCTTCTGTCATGCAGGCATACATACCAAGTGCTCACATTCACAAATGAGTAAGTCTTAAACAGAACACTCGGAAGAAGCTGAGGAGCTTAAAGAAGCACAGTGTAATACTGGATTCAGTGAAGTTAGAAGACTGAAATTCTTCTGTACAGGGTGGTTTTTTTGCATTAAATCCTGTGGTCCAATCTACAGTTCATTACTTTTTGGCCACTTCTGGGTTTAGCAATATGAAAACATGGCTGTTACTAGGCAATTGTATATATTTTTCTTTGCATAACTAAATGTGTCAAATAAATAAGCTCATCTAAAACAATTTTTTTTTTTTAATTTTTAACTTGAGGGCCAACAGGATGGCTCAGTGGGGAAAAGGTGTTTGCACCAAGCCTGACGACTTGACTTCAATCCCAGGAGCCACATGCTGGAAGAACAAGTTGCCCCTGACCTGGACACACATACTGCCCCCCAGGGTAAAAACATTCTATCTAGAAATTAAATGCTGATTCGGAATTGCTGTGCTAGCTCAGCAGCAGCACAGATAACCATCCTGCTGTTGCCCCTCAAAGGGCAGCTCGCCAGACCAGAGGCCACATGGTCCACTCTGGACCTTGTTGTCCTCGCCACGTCCTGTGAGCTCCCTGCCAGGCAAGAAAAACTGAATTACGGGACATCTAGCTTCTGCCAGAAACTGCTAGGTGACACCCTTTCTGTCACTGCTTCTCTTGGAGATCACCGTGGTCTTGCCTTACAATTGGGACCTCAGCAATGGACTGAAATAGGACTTGGACGTAAAACTCAAGTATCCCACTACGATGGGGTACTTTTCTGTTTAAAAGCTGGACTAAGCCAATTCCATTTCTCCCCTCCCCTCCCTTCCCCTCCCCTCTCCTCTCCTCTGTTTTCCCCTTCCCTTCCCTCCAGTGCTCAGGATAGAACTCCAGACCTTGTACACGCAAGTTCTGGTACTGAGAGACATCCTGGAGGCGTGGACAGGGCCTTCACTTATCAGAAATACCTGCAGTTGATAGACTTTTGAGCCCTCTGTGTGCTCCTAGACACTGCTCCATGGCTAAAGTACGTTTTCCCAAGGGAGGTAAGCCACAGTTATCCCCGTTTCCAGGGGAGGAGCCCCGTCCTGACCTGCACAGCAGAACTTGCCGCTGTGTAACTTCCTGGGCTGCCAGACATACAACAAGAATCTCTGAAAGTGACAACCATGAACCTGCATTTTCAGCCAGCTGCCCAGTGATGCTCAGGGAGGTCTCAGAGCCACTGGCTTGGCTTGGCATTGTCCCAAAGCAGCCAGCCTTAGGGAGCTGTGACCCTCCACACCGGCCTCACCTCTGCCTTCTCTGCGCTGTGAATTGTCAGGATCTTGGAGGACAAAATCCAGCTCACCAGGTCCCAGGCCTGTTTGTCTGTGTCTCTGGAGGACTGGAGAAGTTCCTTCAGGTTGGGTAACCTGCCAGCATCCGCAAGCTGAAAGGAGAACCTCCATTAGCAAGGATCCCGCTACAATGGTGATTGTACGCCCTCTAGTGGTGAGACAGAAAACTTCACTCCTAACACGAGGAATTTTCCAAGGTAAATCAGCCTCCTTCCTAAATAATACCAAACCGTGAAAAATTTCAGTTCTAAAAGGTTTTGCTTTGTTTTATTCACTTGGTACAAAACATGACCTGAGCCGATAGGGTTTCAGTCTTTGCCCTGTTACAACTGATGCGCTCAGTTGCAAGAATGTTATTGTGAGGGATGGCTGGAGTCTGCAGGAATTACCAAATTCGTGGTCCCTACACTTTCCCTTCATGAACACAATGAATAGATGCTTTTCACCGAGAATCTACTCGGTGCCAGGTCCTGCCCATCTGGGAGGCATTAGAGAGGGGATCTTGGTGAAATGAAGAAGGAAGCAAAAGAATCCTTATTTAAAAGTGTTCACCGCCGGCTTGTGAGAAGGTTCTGTGGGTAAAGGCGCTTTCTGTCAAGCCTAACAAGCCAAGTTTCATCCTCAGGACCCACATGGTGGAAAGAGAGAAGCGACTCCCACACTCTGACCTCCCCAGACTGCAGTGGCACACCTGCACCGGACACACACACACACACACACACACACACACACACACACACAAAATAAATTAAAATGTAGTAAGAGAAAAGTCATTGTCAGTTGGGCACGATGATCCATGCCTGCCATACCCAAAGTAGAAAAGCTGAGGCAGAAGGATCAAAAATCAGAGCTACCTGGGATAGCTACCTAATGATTTCAAAACCTACTTGAACTATATAATGAGATATTAAGGGGGGGGGAAGGAAGGAAGGAAGGAAGGGAAGCCCTAGGATGTGGCTCCGTGGTAGGTTGCTTGCTTGCTCAGCACATACAAGGCCCTGGGTTTAATCTCCAGTCCTAAACAACAATAACAACAAAATATTCTATATTCTATAGTTAGGCCTGGACGCACACCCCTGTAATCCCAGACTCAAGAGCCGGAGACAGGAAGATTGCCGTGAGTCTGAAGCCAACTTGGAAAGCAAAGCAAGACACTACCTATAAAACAAAAGACTTAAGAGGCCCTAGGCTCGATGCTCAGCACAGCAGAAGTGCTATAACCCTGGTATTCAGTAGATGGAAAGGATTAGGAGCTCAAGTTCAAGGTCATTCTTGTAAGTTCCATACCAGGCTGGGATCCATAAGTCCCCATCTTGAAAAAGAAAGAAAAGAAGGGAGGGAGAGAAGGAAGAAGAGGGTGAAAGAAAAAAAATAACAAAGGACACCCAAACTCCTTCTATCCTGCACTCATATTCCATTGACTTGTTTGCTCACCTGTCTATTACACATGTTAACCCAGAGCAGAGCTTGGCACCTCCTTGACTCCCCAGCACTTATTCCCATCCTGTGAGCCACGGCCCCATCCACCACCCCGAACTGGGCTCCGAGAGCCCCACACAAGAGCAGTAGTTAGGCCTCTTAGGGGCTTCGGGCAGTATGGGAAACAGCTCTACCAGCTCGAATTTGGCCCCAGGCCGCACCCAAGCTCCCTGCAGGAGCAGTCGCCTCCCAGGCCCTCCCACTGCTTCACCCTGCCTTCCCGGCCTCCATCTGCCCACTCTTTTCTGGCCCACTTCACTTTTCACATTATTCTGCTCTAATAAGCTAAGAGTCTTCCCTGTCTCCACTGTAGTAGGACCCCTGGAGTGAAAGCACCCAACTAGGGCTGCCAGATAAAATACAATATGCCCAGTTAAATGGGCATTTCATATGAACAAAACAAAACAAGAGCTGGGCATGGTGGCACAGACCTGCACTCAGGAGACAGGAAGACCACAGAGTCAGGGCCAGCCTGGTCCTTTCATGACATCCAAGGCTACACAGCAAGAATTTCTCTCAGTGGATAAATAACCTAAATGATACTTAAGGCATAGTGTCTCACTATGTAGCTCAGGCTGTCCTGGAATTCACTATGTAGAGCAGGCTAGCCTCAAGCTTCATACTCTCCAGTGCAAGGATTACAGGTGTGTGCCACCATGCCAGGTGTGACACTGCCAGGGCTTCTCGAAAGCTAGGCAAGCACTCTGCCAAGTGAGATTCCACGTGGGCAAGAGATCCGCACCACAGCGGGATGTGTTTACCAATGCCGGGTGGAAGAAAATGAGCAGTCAGGCGGAAGGGTAAGTTCGAAGGGAACTCACTGTACCAGCAGTGGTGGGGGACTGTGAGAGCAGGGCCAGGGGACACCCAGAGGAGTGAGCACTCGGGCACTCAAAGGCTCATCCTGGACCTAAACACCCCCTGGGACAGAATGGCAGAAAACAAGCAAGGGGTAGTCTGGGGGGAGCCTTAAAGGCTATTGCACTGGAGATCCCAGCCTCACAAAAGGCCCATCAGCTCCACCAGCCCACAAGCTCCCACAAGCTGTCTGCAGCTGATGCTCATCACCAGGCAAAACTGGAGCCACCCAGATGCAGGTGACGGCTGCTGACAAGGTACAGCAGGCAAGAAAACACTTGGGAAAAAAAGTAATTGTTAGGAAAGTGCCAGAGGGGATGAGGGAGTGGGGACAGTGGTGAGAAGAGAATGAACCAAAGGCCACCTGCCTCGGGGACCAAACAATGACATCAGCAACCGTGAGGGGAGGACTGACCGAGTTGGCACGGAGGGCTGCCAAGTAAAGGCTGCGAGGTAAATGCCATAACCCCATACAGGCGTGCCAGGCCTAACACACACCTAGACCACGGAAATCTAGATTTACTTAACATGGACTGGGGGGAGAAAGCCGGTAGATGCAGTGGGCATGATGGTGAATGCCCGTCATCCCAGCACTCGGGAGGCTGAGGCAGAAAACTGCCAAGAATTTGAGGCCAGCCAGGTTTACAGAGCGAAATCCTGCCTCAAAGACAATAAAACACAACGGAGTCTGGGGATGTAGCTCAGCTGGTAGCATTCCTGCCTAACAAGCTCTGGAGCTAATCGGCAGTACCAAATAAGGCGTGTATATAGTACACACACACACACACACACACACACACACACACACACACACACACGTACACGAAGTCCAAACACCCGTAAACAAACATAACTAAATCACTCAGCCTCCTGGTTCTGACCCAGGTCCCAGGGTATCCCTAGTTAATCCTGCCATTCCTTCTAGCCCATCTCCATTCATTCGTGACTCCCAGCTGACCGGCAGAAAAGCTCTCTACCAGAGACCCAGAGCTACCACACTTGGCTAGGACTCAGATCAGCGTATCACTCAACTCTCAATCAGAAAAGCTTCTTCTTGCGGGAGACACGAGGTTCTTGCACTCACAGAGAAGCACTGGGGAATCCAGGGATGTTAAACACGCAGGGTTGTCTGTTCAAAGGAAGAGATGTTGTTTCCACCCAGAAGTCTGGGAGTGGGCGTGGTTAATAGCCTGGTGACCTCTGCTCACTCTGTGTGACCCGAGACCACCACAGAGCCTTTCTGAGCCCCTTAAGATGTCACATGTAATAAGGACCCACCCTTACGGAAGATGTCACTGGTACTTTACAGAGTTTTGATGTAATTGTGTCTTAAGTTTTGTTGTACACACGGCACTGAGTTAACAATCAGGAAACTCCTCAACTGTGCTGTGATTAAATATGCCTAAAATAAACCACCCAGTGTCAAGTGTGAACCAACACGAGCTACTGAATTGTGTTGAACTAGACTTCCTTCTTGCCCACACGGATCAGACTGATATGCTCCTGGCCATGGTGTTTGCAGAGACCCTTACAGTACACAGTAATTAGCACAGAGACACACAACTGTACAACGTGAAGATGGTGACTGTCTTTGGAGCTCTCAGCCCTAACGGGAATGTTTTCTATAAAGCTTCTCCCCTCAAGGCTCAGGGTCTATGTGAAGAGGAAGCAGAAAGACTGTGAAAATTAGAGGATGATGGCTCCGAGGGAGAGCATCATCCAGATACAATACATGTGACCTCAGAGACTATGGCAGCAGACACAGGACTGCACGGATTTAAACCAGACAAAATCTCAGCACAGAGGAAGAAAGTGGGCACAAAGTTCCGAACCAAGAAGCAGACGTGCTAGGAAAGAGACAATCAGTTCCCCAGTGGAGTGTCACTGGGTATTCCGCATGCTCTGGGGCAGGCCCCATGCTCAGGTGCACTGGCCAGCACAAAATGGACCCCATGATTTTTGTACGAATTTTTGTTTCGTTGTGGTATTTTTTTTGTCTTGCTAGTTTTTAGTTTGTTTGTTTTGACCTTTTTTGTTTGTTTGTTTGTTTGTTTGTTTGTTTTGAAAGACAGAAAGGACATGACGAAAGTCGGGAGGTGGGGAGAATCTGGAAGGAGTTGGGGAAGGGAAAGCATATGATCAAAATAGATTGTATGTAAAGAGATCCAAATAAAATAATTAGACATAAGTCTCAAAAACATTAACGAGGGAACTAGGGATGCATCTCAGTTGTCTGAAGCCCAAAGCCCTGGACCCAGTTCCTGGGGCATAAGAACTGGACATGGTGGTAACGCCTGGTCTCTTAGCACTCAGGAAGGGGCGGCAGGAGGACCAGGAAGCCGAAGACCAGATAAGGTACATGGGCTCCATAGCAAGCTGAAGGCCAGCTACATGAGGCCTGTCTCAAGGAAAGAAAGGAAGGGAAAGGGAGAGAGAGGTGAGAGACAAGAAGAGGTAAGGAGATGCGAATTTGCCATCTAAGGGAGAAACTATAGCGGGGTTCCAGGCACAGGCAGTTCTCTGGAAATGCCTTCTTTGGTGCTGGCTGTGAGCATCAGTGACCTCAGGTAACAGAATATGGGTCAACCTATGGCTGCTACTTCTAGAACTGACCTGTAGACGCTTTCTGTTCAGCAGATAAAAGTGACAGGCCTGACTGCCTGAGTTCTGTCCCTGGAACCCACATGGTGGAAGGAGAGAAGGAACTCCCTCCAACTTCTGTCCTCTGACCTTTGAAAATACACCCCTACGCACACCCCAATACCAGGCTGGGGGTGTAACTCAGCTGCTACACTGTGATCGCCTCGAGAGCATGGAGCCCTGGGTTAGATCCCCAGCACTGCCTAAACCATCACCTTCATCACCAACCAGTCTACTGTCCACCAGTGTACCACTAGGATGGTTGGCAGAAAGTGGTTGGCACCTGAGCAGGGACCCCAGCCCATCCACCCCCATACTACCTCCCACAGCTGAGACATCTTTCCCAGCACATGTCCTCCAGAAGGCACCCAAGTCTTTGGAGCTGTGTCTTTTGTTCTCCCTACTCTTCATACTCCATCTCTGATTGGAGCTGTTAAATATGGCAGTACTCAGCAGTAGAGCACTTGCCTGGCACACTGAAAGCCCTCACTTTGGTCCTGAACACTGAAAGGTACAGTTAATCTAAAAGACTAAGAACCACACTTAAAAATCAAGTATTGCTGAGCAGTGTTGGTGTATGCCTTTAATCCCAGCACTTGGGAAGCAGAGGCAGGTGGATCTCTGAGTTTGAGGACAGCCTGGGGTACAGAGTGAGTTCCAGGACAGTCAGGACTACACAAAGAAACCCTGTCTAAAAAAACAAAACAACACCAACAATAAAAAAAAAAAATCAAGTATTTACCGAAAGCATTTTTATTACACAAGACCAAATCTAAATTCCTCCCTACCCAGCACCTGAGTACTTGTGAAAACCCTCAAATCAATTCGTAGGAAAACTGAAGTGCTCCATATAACCTACAAACCAGAACAATGCCAATGCCAGGGCTCTGGTGATCGATTGAGCCACATGCTGTAAGGACGACATCCAGACATCAGGATGTTTTGTCTATTCACTTGTTTCACAGCTTCCTGGGGGACTTCAATGTTGGACAAGGTTGAAAGCCTGGATCTATCCCAGAAAATGTCAATATCCTGTTTCTAATCTGGAAATAAGCAGCAAAGGCCCTCCTCACAAAGCTTCATTAGTCTTTGAACCAGCAACACCATGTCTCAAGAGTTTGTTTCAAGAAGACCATGAGAATGTGAACAACTATTAGCGTAGAAGGGTGTTTCATTGCGGCGTTATTTGTGAGAGCCATTTTTTAAAGTTATGAAAGAAGTAGGCATAGTAGTGCACACTTGTGATCCCAGTACTCAGAAGTCTGAGGCAGGAGGATTCCAAATCCCAGGACAGCCTGGGCTTTAAAAAGCAACACCACAAACTGGGCATACAGCTCAGCTGACAAAGTACTTGCCCAGCAAATATTAGGTATGGGGTTTGGTCCTCAGCATCACATTAAAAGGGCAGGGGGCTAGGTGAAGCCTTAGGAGATAGCTCAGTGAATAAAGTGTTTGCTATGCAAGCATGAGGACCAGAGTTTAAATCCCAAAAACACATGCAAAAAAGCCAACAGGTGTGGAGGCTATACTACCACCGTCCAGGCTAGCTTGGACTAGCTGGAATTGGCAAGCTTCAGGTACAGTGAGAAATCCTGCCTCAATGAATAGACAATGATGAGGAAGACACTGAAGGTCAGCTTCAAGGCTCCACACCAATGTGTGAACACACACACACACACACACACACACACACACACACACACACACAAAATAAATAAATACCCCAGTGGTAGAACAAATTTTGGCAAGTAGGCCACAGAACAAGAAAAACTTTCATAGGAGTCCTAAAGGAGTAGAGTTTCCCAAGCATTGAGTAGAAATGGTATCGGGGGACTCAGGACAGGGGACTCATCTCAGCTTATACGTTTTTTTACTACTTTAATTAATTAATTAGTTAATTTTTCTGAGATGGAGTCTAATTGGCTAGTCTGGAACTCAATATATATATACCAAGCTGTCTTTAAACCCACAGAAATCAGCCTTTTCTGCCTCCAGTAGTGTGTGTGTGTGTGTGTCCACATGTGTGTGTGTCCACAGTGACTGCAGAAGTCACAGGACAACTTTCAGGAGTCACTTCTCTCCTGTCACTGTGAGTTCTGGGGATCCAACCCAAATCCCCAGCCTTGCAGTAAGCAGCTCACCCACGGAGCTCCCCAGCTCCATTCTGCCCTCCTAACAATCCCCAAGGATGCTGATTTAGATGCTGGTATTGATTTAGGTCCCAAACACCTGAGCACGGAAAGCCTGGCATCATTTCAAAGGCGCCATCACCAGACACCTCCAACCCTACAAAGGTCTGTGGTCCAGCAGAAAACCAGGGCATAGTATTTTTTTTTAATTTATTTATTTAGGCATTTTATGTATATGAGTGCTCAGTCTTCACGTACGTCTGCAACCAGAAGAGAGCTTCATATACCATTATAGATGGTTGTGAACCACCATGTGGTTGCTGGGAATTGAACTCAGGACCTCTGGAAGAGCAACCAGTGCTCTTAATCACTGAGCCATCTCTCCAGCCCCGCATAATATTTTTTTAAAAGGAAAACAAACAAACTAAAGCTTAATAGTTCTCAGACAGGGACAAGGTTGTCAAATGACAACACAGTAAGCTTGGGGACAAAAGGCAACAGGCTGGGAAATCCCAAGAGTGCTATAAAGTCTCTGGCCTGATAAAGGTTTATGCAACCCTTGTGCCAGAAACAAGGTCAGAGAGCCTCTTGCTCAGGCAATCAGCACATACTCAGTTAGATGCCTCAAATCTGCATGAGCACCTCCCAGGCCAGCCCCAGAGAGCACAAAGAATTCTTAGTGTAAAAATCAAAGAGCTGGCAGCATAGAAATTTTCTCAAAACAAGGCATCTAGGAGATAACGGAGGGCTTTAGGGACAGTGGCAGGATAAGGCCAGACCATGCCTCATGGCAGGGTCTTGGTTCATCAAAGGTGTTCTCTAGCAGGCAGCAGTTAATAAAATCACTCAGACCAGGGCACTAATTGTTCAAAGCTACAACACCTAGGCTAGGCGTGTGGAGAAAGTAATTGCGACTGGCCAAAAGTGGCAAGGGCACCCAAATGCTTTCAGCTAGAAGATGAGGGGAAGAGGGAAAAAAGGCAACTTCCTAAGTCTCCTCCTTCAGATAGCCACAAAATGATCCAGAAAGTGAAATCCAGACTGGGTTTGATTTTCCTTGAAAATCAGCCTTTGAAGTCACTTGACCTATAAATAGCTGGTGTCAAACTTAGGTATGTCTTGTGCTCAAGTCCCTTACACCACAAACTCAAAGGAGCGAATACCTGGGCTTGGCAGAGCGAACCACGGTGGAAGCTGATTTGCCTGTTTCTTTGATTTCCCACTTCCTGTACCCTGACGTGCACAGGCAGCGTGGGCAAGACTTGAGGTGCCCTCAGCACTTGGTGAGGACCGCAAGCGCCAGGGGGAGCCTTTGATGGACCTCCAAGGAATGAAAGCAGAGAGGAAGGAAACTCAGCGCTCCCGACCTCATCAGAGATGGTGGGAGATACGCATTGTCCATTCTGAACATTTCATCAGCTAAGATGGTTCAGTACATTAGCTGACTCCCTAACACTGAGCCAGAGGAGAGTCTTAGAAGCCCTGCGACTTTCGGGAGATGACTGTGAACTGCCATGTTCACACCTGAGTCCTCTGGAAGGGCAGCCAGTGCTCCTAACGTCTATCTCTGCAGCTCTGGATTTTTGCAATTATACTTGGAAATGGAACTGCTCAACAATTTTCTCAGATTACCTTTATCAGATATAACACCTAGGGCATTCCAGCCTCTTTTTGTTTCCTGCTTTCTTATTCTGTTTGAGATAGTTTTATGTAATCCAGGCTGTAATGAGGCTGACCTATTTGTATGTGTGCTTGTGTGACAGAAGAGGGCATCATATCTCATTATAGATGGTTGTGAGCCATCATGTGGTGGCTGGGAATTGAACTCAGGACCTCTGGATGAGTAGACAGTGCTCTTAACCTCTGAGCCCGGTTAAGTTCCCAGCCGGACTGCAATTATTTTTTACCCCCGTATTTGAAATAGAACTCATCAATGAAGCAGCTGGGCCCTTTGTTTGCTTATTTCGTTTTGTGGCCCAGGCTAACCGAAAATTTGTGCTCCTCCTACCTTATCCTTCTGAGTGCTGAGATTGTGGGTGTGCCCCACCACTACTTTCTTTTTTTTTTTTTTTTTTTCACGGAGTCAATTTTGGCAAGTTGTATCTTTCCAGGTGATTCCAAATATTTAGATTACAAGGATAGCTGACATCTGGAATACTGACCCTAACTCTTCAAGAAATTATATGCCACCAGGCACGGTTTCACACATCTATAATCACTCGGGGAGGAGGCAGAGGTAGGTGGACCTCTGTGAATTCAAGGCCCGGCTGGTCTACAAATCGACAGCCAAGGACAGCCAAGGCTACACACAAAGAAACCCTGTCTTGAAAAAAAAAAAAAAAAACAAAAAAAGAGAGAAATTATATGCCTTATAGGCCATGCTTGGCACTGAAGCTTGTAATCCCAGTACTCAGAATTACAAATCATCAGATTATAAAACATTTGTGCACTGTGTGTGACATTTTGTATAAGCGTTTACGTGTAGCTTCCTCTGAAGGGCAAAGTCTAGCTAGTTGCAACGGGAGGAGACAACTTTCTAGTAAGGCAGACAGCTGGCTCAGAGCAACGCCCCTTTAGGGCCACAGCTGAGCATTTTGTGGAGGACTATGAAGCTATTCCTCACATCACTCCTGGGAGTCAGTCACCAAGACGAGGAAGCAGCCACCAAATGACTCGGCAATGTGTCTACAGGAGGTGTTCAGGAGTGTTCTTGCTGATGGAAACCTTCCCCAAGGCTGCGAATAGGAAGTCCAGGGAATTGGTGTGTTTTCTAACACGGGTGGACGTGCCTTTGGCTGCCGTCCCACGGGGCCACCTGGCCCAGGATGCGGCGAGCAACGCTGGATCAGGGCGCACTCACCAGGGCCTCGAAGTCCTTACAGTCCTGGCGGGTGTAGGAGGCGGGGAAGGGCCGCAGCACCGAGTCCCGCTTGTAGCTCTGCAGCGCCGAGGCGAAGAGGCTGCAGCGGAGGTCCGCGGCCAGCACGTCGCGGCTCGCCGCCTCCCTGGCTGCCGCCCTGCTGGAGAGCTGCATCCCGGGCTCGTGGCGCGCGGCCAGGGGGGACGACGCGGGGCGACGCGGGGCGGCGCGGGGCCTGGGCCCGGGGGACCGTGGACCTTCCGCGGCCGGGTTTCCCAGCCCGGGGGGCGGAGCTAGGCAGAGAGGTGACAAGATGAAAGGGGTGAGGACGCGCTGGCGAGCGTCCGCTGCAAGCCCTGGGCTCGATCGCTCGGCGCGGGGAAACACGGGGTTCTGGAGAGCCGCCTCTCGGACCCCGCCGGCCCCGGGTCCCCGACTCGGAGGAGCCGCTGCGGCACCCGGGCCCACCGGGCCTGCCCGGCCGCTGCCCGCGAGCACGGCCTGCTGCCCCGCCCGCCGCTCTCACGCCGCTCCGCCCACCCGGCGCGGGCCCGCCCCTTCCGCGCCCTGGCCCCGCTCCCGCCAGCCCTCCGCCCCCGGGGGTCCCGGCCGCCCTGGGTGCGGGGCAGGGTGCCCACGCCGCTGCCAGTCATGCTCGCGGCAGCCCCCGGTGGAAACCGACCCCGCCCGGCCCCGGGGATCTGCCTTTGTCCTGGCTCTGCGGACTGAGCCTGCTGCCTCTCTCGCCTTGGGAATTGCCACCTGTTGAATAAATCCGTTCCCTCCCGAGCTGACGCGCTGCACGGAAGGAGCCACTGGACACCCGGAGAAACTGAGGCTCGGGGTGATGGCAATACTTCCTCAAGAGGCGTTCTCTGAATTGCTCAAATTTCCCAAGATCCTCCTTCTCTGAAGGCCTCTAACAGGAAGCCCGGGAAAGCAAGCTTTTGAGGGCAGAGGGATCAGTGACCTAACCCAGCGGAAGGGAAAAGGTCGGACTCCAAGATGACTCAGGGATTGGGCGGCGGGTAGAGGCATCTGCTGTCAGTCCTGACTACTGAGTTCCATCCCCGGATCCCACATGTTAGAGAGCTGACTCCAGCAATTTGTCCTGTGACTTTCACACACTCACCACGGCTCAAGAATGCCCACACGTGAACGTACACACAGAATAAATAAGTGTAAGGATAGACTGCGTCACCTACCCTTAGGATCTCACGAGGAAAACAAAACTGTCTGCCCTGATCACGTAAAAATCTAAGCATAAGCCAGGACTGAACTATTAGATCGAAATGCCCCTTATGTGCTGGGCGGTGATGGTGTAGGCCTTTCATCCCAGCGCTCAGGAGGCAGAGGCAGGCGAATCTCTTGAGTTCAAGGCCAGCCTGGTCAACAGATGAATTATAGGACAGCCGGGATTACACAGAGAAACACTATCTCAAAAACAAAAACAAAGCAAAACAACAGAAACTTAACCGAACATATTAATTAGATGAATAAACATACACATTCTCACCCAGCCTTCTCTGAGAAATAAACCCCCTCCTTGGGCATCCGGGTGGGACTTGGCCCTGTGCTCACCAGACTTTGGGAGAGAAGGCAGGCAGGGCCATATCCCCAGGCCCTATAGACCTCCCCAGGCCACGCAATGGTGCAGGCTGCCCACAGGAGTCCTCACGATAATGGCTTTTGTATGGCCTAGGCTGATCTAAAATCACCAAGTAAAACCCCCTAACCCTCCAAAGTCCTGGGGCCCCACGGAGCACCCAGACCAATAAAGTAGCTGCTGAATGTCTGGAGTGAAATGAGTGAGCCTCACCGTGAGAAAACCTTCTGACCATCTCTCCCGCCAGGTAAGCATTAAAAATGTGTTTTTAAAAAATATTAACAAAGGGCCAGAGAGATGGTTTGCCCAGTAGAAGAGCTTCCTGCTCTTCCAGGGGACCTGAAATCAGTTCCCAGCACCCACCTCAGGAGGCTGACAACAACTGGTAACTCCACCTCCATGGAACCTAACACTCCTGTCCTCCTCTCCCAGAGCTCCAAGTTCAATTCCCAAGCACCTGAATGGCAGTTCACAGCCCTCTGCAACTGAAGTCCCAGAAGATCCAACGCTGTCTTCTTCTCTTCCCTCTGTATCTGAAGTCCCAGAAGATCCAACGCTGTCTTCTTCTCTTCCAACACCAGGTATGCATGTGGCACACAAACATACATGCAGGCAAAACACTCATACACATAAACAAACAAAATCTTTACAATTCTTTAAAAAACATACTAATGGATCAGAGAAAGAACAGAGCTTTTATACTTGCAGTTTTGTTATGTTAGTATTATCATTTCTGGTTCTAATTTATTTTTGTGAACTTGAGTTACCACCTGGCGACATTTCTGAGGCCCAGCGCAGAACTACCCTACACCATGCCTTTGAGCTCATGCTGACAACATTTCTACACTTCAGAGCCCAGCACTAGGGATTGAACCCAGGGCCTCCTTGCTTCTACTTCTTGCCACTCCTTGAGTCTACTTCTAAGCCACATCCCAGCCCACTTAGGGTTTCCTGGATAGTGTATTTCAGCTGTTGACCATTTGGAACAACTTATTTACTTACTTACATACTGATCTGAAGTTCAGGTTATTGATTTTTTTTTTCTTAGAGCTGTGAATATGTCAGCCAACTGCCACTACCCTGTCTCTGATGTCTCTGCTGAAAGGTCAGCAGGAAATTTTATTTGGGTTGCCTTATGACAAGTTTGTTTTTCTCATGTTGCTTTCAAGATTTCCACCTTGGTGCTAGAGAGATGGCTCAGGTGGTTACAAGCACTGGCTGCTCTTGTAGAAGATTCAAGTTCCATTTTTATCAAAAGGTGGCTCATAACTACCTGTAACCCCAGTTCCAGGGGATCTGATGCCCTCTTCTGACCTCTAAGGGCTCCTGTACATGGGTGGTGCACATAATCTGTGTGTGTGTGTGTGTGTGTGCGCGCGCGCCTCTGTCTCTGTCTGTTTCACACACATGAAGGAGGAGGAAAGGAGGAAAAGGAGAGAGGAAGAGGGGGAGGTGGAGGAGGAAAGAAAGAAAGAAAGGAAGGAAGGAAGGAAGAAAGAAAGAAAGAAAGAAAGAAAGAAAGAAAGAAAGAAAGAAAG